CATAAAAACCTGAAAACTCATTTTAAGTTTTAGGTCTACAAATATGTGTATATTTTTACTGTTAAACATCCCCCCTAAATAAAAAACACAATTAATTGAACTAGAATAATTATCAGACTTTCTTACTGATTTTTCTTAATTTAAACTGTATAAGCTCTTCATTAACACTAACAAAAGGTTCTAAAAAGCTTTTAAAACAATTTTTTTTATAAATACACAAACACCATATGGGAGTATATACTTAGTGGATTTTTTTTAGTATTATTTTTAGCATCTATGTATGTATGTATGTATATACATACACACACACATACACATATATATATATATATATATATATATATATCCTTAAACTATGTTTCTTAGTTCTTGTCAGTGTAAAAACATTCCTAGCCAACTGATGATGAATAGTTTTGAGAAGTCACTGTAGTAATACTGGAACTGTTTACCTCTTAAGTCTTTCCCTTAAAACTATATGATGCCACATTTCGACCAGATTTTTTTGCTAACTGAAAAATTTTAATCACAGAATATATCAAACCATAACTATTTTGATGGCATAATCCAATTTCAAAAGTAATAAGCACTTTATTTTTGCAACGCATTATGGCCTGGTGATAGAGTTTTGATATTAATGGTGTTTCCCATCTTTGACGTGTGTACAGACTAGCACTGGCACATGCACTGACGGGATAAAATGCTATATTTTAATAATTTTTATCTTAACAACTTAGTGGCCATTTAAAAGCAGAAAAAAAAAAGAAGTAAAAGTGGCTTTCTTTGTTGTATAACCAAAAGTGATTATGAAAACAGCAACCACTGGTTGGGACCTTAAGAATGAGACATTACAACGTAACCTCAACTTGCCTTCACATCTTTGGTCCAAGGTTTTAAAGTTATGGGGGATGCTAGAAATAGTTCACACGGTTTGACTGTTAAAGCTGCACAGGCTTCAGCTGAATCACTCCAGCTTGTTTCTTTGAATTCCCTTCATCATTATGACTTTCTGTTGGATGAAGGGCCCAAGGTAGGCTGGCTCGACGACCTACTTCCAAAATGCTATCATACGTTTCATCTCGATTTAGGATAGCGCCAAAGATGTATGTTTGCTGTAAAAGGAGATGAACATTTATAACCAATGATATTAAAGCTATTACTACAATACTACATAAAAAAACACCTCATTATGAAAGTTGGTAACATACTATAAACCTTCTTAAACAATTTCTACAACTTCCACAAGTTGATGCCTAAAAACTGTTTAAGCTAATATGATGATAGTTAATGTACTGTAGTACTAAACTAAGAAGAAATATGGTATTTAAGAAAGATTACTCACTGATTATAAAGCAATAATAACTTCTTACTATTGGCCTACAAATACCTGGTCTTTTTAACATAACATTTCATTTGGTTACCAAAACTCTTGTCATGTTTAGGCATAGTACAGAAAAAGGAACAACTTCCAAAATACGCAAGTCCTGAGTAAAAATGAGAAGTCACTATTTAACTTGTATTGTCATTACAGTACAAGAGTAAAATTGTGATCTTTAAATTATGGAAACCTAGCATTGCTACACTTTTTGAAACTTGTACAACAGTATCTGAATGTACACCTGGAATGCCTACAAACATTTATAAAATTTCAAAGTTATTGAACAAAACACTAAAAAAAAAGGAGCTACAAAATTGAACCTTTATATTGCAGTCAGATTTTTGCAGAAGGAGAAAGCATTATAATAAGTATAATAAGAACAGACACGATAAACTGAAAGATGGTAAAAAAGAAAAATTATTATAAATAATCATGAAAGTTATAATTTTCCTATACCGAAAATGTTATTTCCGATAGGTACTTACCTCACATAAATAACTATTTTCATTCAGTGCTGACCTCTATATGCAAGTTTTTTTTACATGCCACAAACCTTGAGTTCCCACATACCCTACTTTCAACATGGTTCAACTATAAATCATCATGCAACAACCCTTCACCAATAGGAGTGCGACACAACTTCCTGTGACTCCCTCTATTTGATTCTACCAAATTATCATTTCGAGTTTTGGCATAAAATGGAAGCACCAATTTTCAGTGGAGAGGAAGGGTGGGAGGGAAATATATTTTCAGTATAAGAAAATAATAACTTCTGTTATGGTACATAAATAACTAGAATCCCACATTGAATAGATGAAGGGACTAGTGCAAGGGAAAGAAAGAAGCATTCCTCGAAAGAGTCCAAAGAACATCCTAAATGAGGAAATTCTTGCACTAGAGTATCATACGTGGGAGACTGCACCACTTCTGTACCAGGTATACTCTTCTTTGGAAAAAGTTGATGCAGGCATGGGTGGAAAATTGGAGGAGCACATCCAAAAGGGAGAGAACAATGGTTGGATAAGGATCCAAACCACACAATATCTGAACCTCAATCGCATAGATTATATGAAAGCAGGTGTGAGTAGAATGGATGTGTTTTCTGTTTTGTGTGCAAACTCTTATGGACATGGTTGACAGTGCTGGCTAATGAAGGGTTTAGTGACTGGCAAAACCCTGTTGTAATTCAAAATCATGAGAAATCTGAGGATCACAGAAAAGCTTTGCTCACTTTCTTGATGAGACAACATGGGTTAACCTTGAATTCACACCTGGAGGAACAGATGAAAAAGGAACAAGATTACTGGAGACATGTACTTCAATGTGTTGTTGCAGTTGTGTTCACATTAGCAGAACGTGGCCTAGCTTTTAGAGGAAGCAATGAAAAGTTTGGCTCACCACATAATGGTAACTTTCTTGGCTTGATAGAACTTATTGATAAGTTTGATCCATTTCTTGCTAACCATATAAAACATTATGAAAGCAGTGGATCTGGAAAACCTTCATATTTGTCTAAAACAATATGTGATGAACTCATCCAACTTGTGGCTAAAAAAGTGAGAGGATCAATTTTGGATGACTTAAAAAAGGCAGGATACTTCAGTTTATCTGTTAACTGTACACCAGATCTGTTGCATGTTGATCAATTAACTGTTATTGTAAGATATGTGTCACCTGATGATGACTTTTCCCACTTATCACTTTCTAACATTTCTTGAAACAAAAAACCACAGTGGTGACAATTTGGCTAACATGGTGCTGGATTATCTAGGAAATCACTGCAAAGTTGACTTCAGTAAGTGTAGAGGACAGTCATACGGTAACGCAGTGAACGTGGCTGGGAGGTACAATGGCATGCAGCAAAAACTTTTGGAAAAAATAAGTATGCTATATATATTCCATGTGCCGGACATTCACTGTATTTTGTTGGTCGTGCTGAAGTTGGTTGCTTCCCAGATGCAGTCAATTTTTTTGCTATTGTGAACCAAATTTATACATTTTTCTCTGCCTTTTTACTTCAACTCTTGTTTTAACACAATTCTTCCAACTTCAGTTTTATTCCCTATCTACTCCTTTCCGTGTTATTATAATTCTTTTTCATGTGATTGAGAATTGTAGTAGTTTTTACTTTTTACGTTTTTGTTTGTTAGATAAAAAAAAAAAGAGGAAAACAAAACTTACTTTCTCAGGTTTCTCCATTGTTACTTCTAAAGCCATTCCACCTCCTGGTATCCAAGGGTAAGGCTTGGCCTACACAGACTTGCAATATTAAACTTCAGGATATTAGAGAAAATTGTTTACAAATATATTGTTTGAAATTGAAACACTTTTAATTTAACAATGAAAACAAATTCTCTCCGTTTTTTTCTTCTCAAAATATGAAAAATGCTAAATTTGACAAAACCCACTTGCTATATTATGAACTATTTTTGTGAACTGTATTTGAAATGTAAGAAACCTGTGGATGTGCATACAATGAATGTGTTTTTACAGTCCAGAAGCAATAGTTAATACAGCTCACAAGTCAGCTGTATTAAAACAAATCAAACAATGAGTCTAAATAAATAGTGAGATAGAAGTTTTATGGTGATAAAAATGAAATAACTCAAAATACTTGATCATGCACATATTGCTTTATGTGTAATTCAAGAATAATAATTATGGATTACAAGCTTTGTTCACCACTTCATCTTTACATTTTCATTGCTTTATCTTTTACGAACATTAATGCTGCTTATCATTTATATAAAACATATTCCTGACTCCTAAAAGTTCTAATAAAACATACTTGTTATCAAACTGTTAATAAACAGTTACAATACATTCAACTCTTATGTCTACAAAGGTTTGTGTCATTGTTGGGAAAAACTCAGTCCAAAACTTAATTTATGATTTAATCTTACGCTGATAAGCATTTTGCTTACTCCTTTTTATGATCTTTTTTTCTTAATACTGAGTAATTTTACTACTAGCCCAAATCTATGGAGAACTAACAAAACATTGATTATTACCAAGCATTTTGCTATAAATTATTTTTCTAGCGAAAGATAGACCTTGAACTTTTTAATCTTGTTTGGTAGTAACTGCATACAGACCTACAATGAGCTCAAACTATCAAGAACAATCTCTTCTTTTACGTTTAATACAGTTACACATTTCATGCCAATCAGCAGGAAAAAGTAAGAAATAATTTGGTAGCTGTTTGTTTCAGGAATCAAAACTACCTATAATGAGGAATCAACTGAACAAATTTTGAAGTTTGTAATGAATGGAGCAGCTTTTATACACGACTTAAATATAAACTAAACTCAAAAATATAACAAAAATCCACACACTGTAAGTAGTATGTTGTTCTTTGTTAGTGTTACTTTCATAAACACAGAGATGCCAACCCTAATTGATATAAAATAAGAACACAAGTCTAACAAAAGAATGGAAGTTTAATCTTTGCAGCTGCTTTCTTATGAGCGATGTTGAAATTCACAGTGTAAAGTGTAAATACATGGCCAGTATATTCATACTTAAATTTCTGCAATACCCATGTTTGAGATGCCATTTATTATTGTTACAACCGATATTTTTTGTTAAAGCTTCGGTTAACTCCAAGGGTATCATTTAACTAAAAAACCTACCTGACATTTGTTCTTTTGTAGTTTTATTTATCTTGTGTTCCTGATTTTCTTATATTCTGGTGCTAAGGTTGTGTCCTAATATGGTTGAGTTTTGTATCAAGATGCCTTTTCTTCTTATATTGTAATAATTGTTTTTTCTTCTCTTATTTTCACCTCTACTTTATATGTATCACTTAAGTAGTACATTTACCCATGCTTTTCTTATTTTGTCTATTTCTTTTACAATTTTTTTTGTCTTATAAAGATGGTGTCATGAAATTGAAGTCTTGCCTACCCTCCCAACACATTTTTGGATGTACATTCTTGACTCGATAGCTTTTGTTCCAGCATCTTTCTGATGAAACTAACACAGCTGTTTCAATTTCTGAATGGGCTAACTATCAATATGATTTCTGATTGGCCAATATTCCATTCAGTGTTATGAAAACTTTTGAGTCTGGTTTGAGTACAACCGCAGAAGTACAAACACTTAAATGGATGTGATCTCAGTGGTGTTATCATTTCATTCCATCCTCACAACAAGCACAAAACTTAAAACAACAATAATAATAAACAGATTTTAAAGGGTATGATCATAATGGTGTATCTAGGGTTAAAAAATATGAATGGTTCCATCACAACAGAAATGATTGGCATCTCTGTTAACAGAGTTGGTTAGAACATTTTCTACATTTATTTTTATTATAAGGACTACTTTATTAGATTAGTATACAGACTTAGGACTAATCTAATTCTCCTACAGTGGCCAAACCTTGCGAGACGTTATCGGGATTACAGTAAAAAATATCACTAACAAGATAGTTCTGATCTATGTAGGTAGCTTGCTCTAATCAGATGCTAGCAATTTTTCAGAAAGCTAAGATGTCAGTTTAAAAATGAAGTCTGACCTACCTGAGCCTGTTCCACCCAAAAAATCAAATGTTTCACTAAAGTATTTTGACTAAAGATCCGTCTGTGAATTTCAAAATCTTTTAGTGAGTTAGTCTGAGTGAAAGATGATCTTCATGCAAAGAATAAAAATGTTTCTTTTCATCCTAGATGTTTTATATTTTATTTTCACAACCTCTAGAACTTCCTAAATGAATATCAGTAGTTTTTTTCAGTGAAACTCTATCTTTTCCCTACCATAACACTAACTGTACTGGATTCATTTTCTCTACCCTAACACTAACTGTACTGGATTCATTTTCTCTACCCTAACACTAACTGTACTGGATTCATTTTCTCTACCCTAACACTAACTGTACTGGATTCATCGATGTATAGTCAAATAAAAAGTTGAAAAATACGAAATAACGTGAATAAACCTTTTTTTTTGCTGACTGTAATATTGATCAGAAAGTTTGAAATTACTTATGTTAGAAGTTTAAGCATTTTAAAACTGCTTCCTTTTAATTTCATACTTTCACTTCTGCAGTTTGTACCATTTAAACAGTAATCCTCACTTTAAAGGCAATAAATCACAGCCAGAGTCCATCTTCCATTTTTTTTGGAGAGCTACAGTAAACAGTACGAGATTGCTGACAGTAAAGTTTCACAGAGTCCGGGAAGTTTCTAATTTTTGTTAATTTTATTAAAACAAAATATATAACAATGAATAAAATATATACATAAAAACAAGGATTTGTAGTACTTACTGCATACTCAAGCTACTTTGCACCCAAGTAAATATTTTAATTGTTACTCTGTAAGTTTCATTTAGTCTCACAAGTTTGGGGGTCCAAAAAGTAATTAATGTAGTTTTCAAATATGCATTTTAGAACATAAAAAAATATACCAGAATGTTCCACAACATTCCCTTAGACATTTGGAGTAGCACCACGAAACATCTAGAGAGTTAATAATTTAAGTGGAAAAATCAAGAAAAACAGATGAAATCGTGTAAAAGAGGATTGGCTTTTTCTACTGGCTATAAACTTGTCCAACAGCCATATAAAGTTGGTTAGCAAACAATCTCAAAAGTCAGAAAGAAAAGGGAAGGATCTTTCTAATGAGTTTGACAAATTTATCAACATCTCAGCAAATCCACAAGGGTTTCGAGTTTTAGATTGTTGTTTGTAATTGTGTATATTTTGTTTTCTGCAGCAACTTATTTTTGATTTTAGAAAATTCTATTTTTTTACATTTCTTGACCTAAATTAACTGGCTATACCTGTTTTTAAGTGGATTAACCCTTGACATTTTGGCCTGGCACTTTTGTGCATGTCACAACCTTTTACAATGTTACATTCAAAATTTGTTTGAAATTTATTATTAATGTATGTCAATTAATTTGGCATGTAAACATAGTTTCTAATTCAATTTTATATATTATCTAAGTTTCAATTACAAAAAAAAATGTTTAAATATTCCTACACTTCATTTTTCTATGTCACATTCTCCCTTTTTAAGTTACACTACTTTATTAAAATCAAACTTACCTTTTCAAATCTCACAATATTTTTTAGTGGCAAAACTAAATTCTTCACATTTGGTGTTCGGGATCTTTCAAAGCATAAGAAACTGTAAACACAACAAGCTATAATAAATACTACCAGAAGAGCAGAACGTTGATAGGAAGGAAATGTCATACTATGTAAATCAGTACGTTTTTTTACTTCAAATCAAGTTTGAGGAACATAATCTTCAATCTAAATAAACAAAAGCTGCAAAATAAATTATAAATAAAGCTGTAAAATCCATATTTCTTCATTGTAAACACGAGCTGTGTTTTTATTTACTGAAGTTTGTCTCCCTCCTTATGTTATTTATAAATTAATAATAAATAATAAAAATATGCAAGGCTTCAGAAACCTAACAGAAAATTATATATTCAAATATTCTAATCTGCCAATTTAGAGATCAGCCAGCTCATAATTTTAAATTATCAATAAATTTGAGTAATTACAGTAATCTATATTAGGCCCATTTCTTAGGAATTGATTGATTGATTGAGAGAAAAAGGATAAATAAATTTTATAAATTGTTTACATTCTCCTAAGAAAAATTATAAAAACAGATTCTGAGCATGTTTTCCAATGGTAGACATTCTTTGCTAGGGATAAACTGGAAAATGTCCAGGACTATATAGCCGTAAAAAGACTATATAGCTTTCAGCTATGTCATGGAACTAACAGTTTTACAATTTGTCCATCACAGCACCAAATAAATATGCATGTTGGTGTTATGATTAAATACAGGATAAATAACACCAGTGACTTGCAGGGAATACGAAGAAAGAAACAAGAAACCGTGAGGCCTTTGGTCTTGCACAAAGAAACATTAGGAGTTTTAATGAAAGAAAGTGTTAAACAGACTATTTGTTGAAGCAAATACAAATCTTTTCTTAACATTGCACCACCCAATAGGGAATTACAAAGAACACTCTGCTGTATTCTTTAATATGAACTGTTTAAGAATAGTTTTAGGTTCAGTACTGTTAGCCTTTTTAATCTATTTAACATATTCACTGCCACTGCATCCAAGGCATTGTGTCAACAGAAACAGTGAGGGATCATTTTATTGGAATCCGCATACATTAGAAGTCAGTTCTGCTGTGATAATACTGGCATTGTGTCAACAGAAACATTGAGGGATCATTTTATTGGAATCAGCATACATTAGAAGCCAGTTCTGCTGTGATGATACTGGCATTGTGTCAACAGAAACATTGAGGGATCATTTTATTGGAATCAGCATACATTAGAAGCCAGTTCTGCTGTGATGATACACACATGAGGGTCTCCTCTCAAAAATATTTTGCTTGAATGTAGATTTTTTTAATTTGATATACATTTTCTGCTTGCCTTTTATAGCATGGATAAAAATAGTGCTCCTTCAAAGCCTATTATAAAAAAAATTTACCCCCCCCCTGAAACTATAACCATGACTATAATTTGCCTACATTCAAAACATACCCCAAAACCATGACAAGATATATAAAAAATAAATGACACACATGTGCATTATGGTACAGATCGTAGTTGAATAAGCATAAATGACCATAAATGTTCTATCTTGCATTATTAAAATGCTCCTAATCAAAACAAAAAACCAGTGGCACCTGGCATGGGTATCGATCTCTCGAGGTGGCACTGAATGTGTTGATTTTAGCTTTTAGACCAGCTTGTTTAGGCCTTCATGTAGTTTGCACCTTTTACTAGTAATTTTCATAGGTTTCCCATACGTTTCCATTTGTAACATTAACAATGTGGATTCTTATTGTTTATTGGTTGAATTTTGCACAATCCTAGTTGAGGGCTACCTCTACTGGCCTTCCCTAATTTTGAAGCAATAGACCTGAGGGAAAGCAGCTAAACAACACCATCTACTGCCAACTCTTGGGCTACTTTAATCAAATAATGGGGTCTGACTGTTACTCTTATAATACACCAACAAACCTGAGGTGGGAAGTATAACTTTTTCTTCTTTTTTTGGCAAAAGTGTGGCACAAAGCATGAAAACTCATGGATCACGCTTGGCCCGTGGATTATTATTAGTTTAAAATTACTATTAGACAATTTTTATTTCGCCATATATGCAACAAAAATGACCTGATTAGTTGAAAACAACAATTTCATAAATGAAAATATTTTCAATTACATGATTGTTTTTTGTTAAATCTTAGCTCATGCAACATAACAAGTTCAACATAAGATATTCTTTGTAAAATTTAAAATTATCTTGTAATTTAAAAACTAAAAAATTCTAACCGTACCTGTTTGTTAGATAAAGACGCCCATTCTTAAATGCTGAAGTTAGAGACTTGTCTCGGTTTATCAGTGTACACCTTCGTCCTGCATGCCAAGCTAGCAAGGTACAAACAAACACTTTAGTAGTTAGATCATCAGTATGAAATAGTTATCTTAGAATATACAATGTCACCATTGTATTTATGTTTGGAACCTGATATTTCTTTAAACACTCAACTAAGTAAGAATAATTGGTTATCTGTCTGACATCCCTTTAGTAACATATGGAGCAAAAAACCAGCTTGACTTTAACACACTTTCCTGATTACCAACCTTTATAATCCACATCATTCAACTACACAGTTTGGTTTAGTTTGTTTTGAATTTTGCACAAAGCCACATGAGGGTTATCTGCACCAGCCATTCCTAATTTAGTAGTGACAGACTAGAGGGAAGGCAGCTAGTCATCACCACCAACTCTTAGGCTACTCTTTTACTGATGAATAGTGGGATTGACTGTCACATTATAATGCCCCCATGGCTAAAAGGGTGAGCATGTTTCGTGGAATGGAGATTCAAACCCGCGACCATCAGATTTCGAGTCAAGTACCCTAACCACCTGGCCATGACGGCCCTTAAACTACACAGATACATTTTTATCATTTGATACTCATGTGCTTGCTGAAGGTTATACTATCATAAACTACTTAAAGAAAAAAAAAGAAATTTGGTATTATCACAAACAATAAATTAAAACCAAGATTACACAAAATTAAGTTAGTGATTACAACCCAACTGAGAGAATATTATGAAGTAAATAGCAGTAAACTAACAGCTGATTATAAAGTTGTATATTTGGATCCTGGTTAAGTCAAAGCAGGGATAAAAATGACTTTTTGAAGAAAACCAAACTAATAATAAGAGTATTATAGATTTGTGGTATTTTACCCACATGTTAACAATAAACAGTAGTTACTAAGTGTATATCTTGTACATCTACAGTTTATTGTTTGTAATTTAATTATGCACAAAGCTACACAATGGGCTATCTGTGCTCTGCCCACCACGGGTATCAAAACACGGTTTCTAGCCTTGTAAGTCCGCAGACAAACCACTGCGCCACTGGGGGGCAACTACAGTGTAAGTATCTTATGAATCATACAGCAGAATGTTATAAGTTTAAACAAAAACTACTAAAAACCACAAGCTTATATTTCTCACTAACCTTGGCTAATTCCAAAGAAAAAATAATAATAATAATACAATCAAGAAATAAAATAAAATACATAAAAGTTTGAGACCTAATGGAGAAAGGATCTTTAATGAAAGCTCTTTATACTTACAGTACTTGCCTATAAATTTGTATATATTAAAAATTATTAACAATAAAGACATTTTATTATTTACTTTGTTTTAACTTTGTAATGAATGGGTTATTTATTAATGAAGGGAAGTACTCCACCTACATTGCTGTGCTGTTGCAGCTAATTATTCTATATCTATATTTACAGGTACTTAAAACAATTATTTCAAGCTGATGTCTGTTTTCTTAATGAAACTATTATTATTATTACAACTATTTTGTTTCCTTCATCTGAGTTTCTTTGGTAAAGATGGACACCTTGCTATTATTCTGAATTTTAATCGTTGTTAAATTAATAAACTACTAGTTTGTTATATTAAAGTAATCTTTAACTTTTAAAATAAAAGTAATGATAATTTATTTAACTCAGATCTTGTTTGTAAACTGGAGCTTTCTTCCTGGCCAGTAACCTAAGTTTATATTAAAATATGTTGTTTATGTGATATTATTTTAATGTATTTTTGTTGCATCAAAGATAGATTTTCTTATCTCTTATTGAAAAACAAACAAACCCAGAATTATTTACTAAAATAGATCTATGGTAGTACAGGAGAAAAATTGTAGACATACATTTCTTTATTCTTTGAGGAACTATAAAAAAAAACTTATTTTATTTAGATCTGTATGGTTATAGGTTGAGAAGTGAGATGGGTGTTCTCATTCCTCATGTATTAAGCTAAGTCATGCTATTCAATATCTGAACTCGCTTTTGACATGAAGATTATTACTTTGGTAGTTACTAAACCTGAATTTAAATCAACATTCTTTCAAAACCTAAGGTCGGAACAATCTACAAGCATTCCCAGTTGTACACTTACCAAGCGCTTTTCTTTCTGTAATTCAGGCATTTTATAGCATGAAGTTATTACTTAAATAGGGCTAAAACAATCTGGAATTGGACAAATGATAAAATCTTGGTGTACTGTTTAAGTACTACAGAAGCTTACACATTAAATAGTAAATGAAATAAACTTTAATAAGTCCAACACTACAGAGTATTTTGTACTAATAAACAATTCTAAATTATTTACAGAAATACTTCCCCAAAAAATGTATGCCATACACGTGTTGTTTTTCCTATTATTACAACTGAAACACTTTCAATAAAAACACATTGCTTTGCCTGAATTTGAACAAATATTTGATACATATGGAAAGCCCTTAAAAACTACTCATAATTACAAAACAGACCTAATTATTAAATAAAACTATCTATATAACTACAACTGAAACACATAGCTTTGCCTACATTTGTCTGATATGTATGAGAAGCCTTAAAAATCTACTCGTTACTACAAGACAGACCTAATCTAAACCTTACAGAATAAATTAAATCATCATCAAAACAGGTAGCATGATGTAACCTACCTAGTAAAACAGGTAATATGGTTTACTCGTACCTGGTAGTGGGGATTCTGATACTGGTAAGTTAAATAATTCGAACAGGTAGCAGGACGTAACCTTACCTAGTAAAACAGGTAGCAGGACGTAACCTTACCTAGTAGTGGGGTGAACTATTTAACTTACCAGTATCAGAATCCCCACTACCAGGTAAGGATACATCAAGCTACATATTTTACTAGGTAAGGTTACATCCAACTACCTGTTTGAACTATTTAACTTACCAGTATCAGAATCCCCATGATCCAGGTAAGGGAATCAAAAAGTTCTTAAGTCATAACCTTATGTGTAGAATCAAAAAGATCTTAAGTCATAACCTTATGTGTAGAATCAAAAAGATCTTAAGTCATAACCTTTTGTGTAGAATCACAAAGTTCTTACATCATAGCCTTATGGTAATGTATGACTTTGTGTGTTTACTAACAGAACGTGATTAACCAAGCTGCCTGTCATCTCTCCTTGGCCAAAACAGAGAATCAGTCATTTCGTACACATAAGGTTATGACTTAAGAACTTTTTGATTCAACATATAAAGTTATGACTTAAGAACTTTTTGATACTACATATAAGGTCATGACTTAAGAACTTTTTGATTCTACACATAAGGTTATGACTTAAGAACTTTTTGATTCTACATATAAGGTTATGACTTAAGAACTTTTTGATTCTACACATAAGGTTATGACTTATAAACTTTTTGATCCTACATATAAAGTTATGACTTAAGAACTTTTTGATACTACACATAAGATTATGACTTAAGAACTTTTTGATTCTACATATAAGGTTATGACTTAAGAAATTTTTGATTCTACTCATAAGGTTATGACTTAAGAACTTTTTGATTCTACACATAAGGTTATGACTTAT